CTTTTTTTCATTTGAAATATAATTCACATATCATAAAATTTATTCTTTCAAATGTACATTTCAGTGATATTTAGTTTGTTCACCACGTTGTGCAAACATCACCACTAATTCCAGAATATATTAATCACCCCCAAAAGGAGTGCTGTGCCCATTCATTGTCACTCCCCAGTCTCCTTTTCCTCCACCCCAAGCAACCACTAATCTACTTTCTGTCTCTGTGGGTTTGCCTATTCTGGGCACTTTGTATACACAGAATTATACAAGGCATAGTCTTTTCTTGGTCTGGCTTCTTTTGCTCAGTATAATGTTTTTTCTCATTCTTTCTTTTTTGGAGAGGTTTTTGCTATAGGGTGTTTGCGCTCACTAAAAAGACAAAAAGAGACAGAAAGCGAGAAATCATTCCCCCCTTTCTCCTCCATCCTCCTCTCGGGATCTTGGGCACGCACGCACATGCACCTGGCATGAGTTTAAGCCACTGGGTTTGGGACTTGAACCACGGTCGACTACATGGGAGTCCAGCAATATAGCCATTACATCAACTGCTGGTCCCGCTCATATAATGTTTTCTAGGTTCATCCATAATGTAGCATAAATCGGAATTTCATTCCTTTCATTCCTTTTTAATGACTGAATAGAATTCTGTTGTGTGGATACATAAGACCTTCATGGCTTTCGATGTGAGATTAGCCCATAAATTCTTTTTTTTTTTTTTTTTGAGAGGTTTTTTGCTATAGGGCGCATGCGCTCGCCAAACAGAGAGAGACAGAGAGATAGAAAGCGAGAAATCACCCCCTAAGGGGAATGGCCACGCCGCAATCCCTTCTCCTCCTTTCTCCTCTCGGGATCTTGGGCATGCACACACATGCGCCCAGTGTGAGTTTAAGTCACCCGGTCTGGGACTCAAACCGTGGTCTATTACGTGGGAGTCCAGCAACACAGCCATTACGCTAACTGCTGGTCCCAGCCCATAAATTCTTAACTAAGCAGCAGACTATGAACACTGACCCTCTTTTGCACAACTGCTATAAAACCCAATCCAAGTCACATCACACAGACTTTCTCCCCACCCCAACCCCCCAAGCACCAGAACTGAGGGGTTCATGTGACTTTGGTAGTCTGTCCCTGCTGGTTTGCAGGAGCAGCATACTGGGGAAGACAGACGTCTACTCTGCCTGACTCTGTGCAGAGATCCTGAACCACAATCTTCAGTCTCGTCCTCTGAATTTACGAGCTCTTGCAGGTAAACCCGCTGCACAGGTAGGGTAGATAACCATGCCGTTATCATCAGAATTCCTCCCAGTTCCCTCTAGGTTCCGCTTCTCAATGTGGACCTTTGCGCCCTCCCCTCCTTTCCCTTCCCTTCCTTCTGGTCCAGGCTGTTCTCGTTCAACATGTATTAAGCACCTCCTAGGCGCTAGACATAGTTAGACACAGAACCAAATGGAAGGAGCTTGTTTTAGCCTTCCAGAGGGTTCAGAGCTGGTCAGGGAGACCATTGGGTCCACAACACAGTGGACTCAGTGAATGCTCAGTGCTGGAAGGGAAGGAGCAGATAGGGCAGGGCACGATTGCCCCAGAGAGGTCAGGGAGGGCTTTGCAGAGGCAGTGACATTTGAGCTGAGCCCCAAGGAAGAGCAAGTTCTCTGAGATGGCATGACAGTTGGTGAAGAGGATGTTCCAAGAGAGGGCACAGCAAGTACAAGGTGTCAAAGCCGGAAGGAGCACAGTGTGCTCAGAAAACTGCAAGGAATCCGGGCTCTGCTGTGGAAAGGGTGTCCACAGTAGGGGTGTGGGGGAGGTGCCATGGTACAGTGAGTCTTATAAGCCACAGAAAGGGTTATGAACTTGGCCTGAGGGCTGAGAGGAGCCACTGAAGGATTTCTTTCCTTTTTTTTTTTTTTTTTTTAAGAATTATTTTATTTAACTTTATTTATTTATTTAAATTTGATCAGGGAGGGACAGAGAAAGAGAGAGAGAAAGTGAGAAAGCAAGCAAGCCACCAAGTCCGGGACTCGAACGGCAGTCAGCCAGTCAGCCACGTGGGAGTCCAGCGCTCTTAACCACCACACCACCTGCTGGTCCTGCCACTGAAGGATTTCAGTCAGAGCAATGCCATGATTTTTAAAATGGATCCCCATAAGCTGAGTAAAGTCAGCTTTATTTTACTTTTTTTTTCCCTAGGACTCAGTAGAAATTTACAACTGGGGTGGGGCTAGGATTTATTGTTTCCAGACTGGTATCAGGTACAACACGCTAGATCTCAATGCCAGACAACTTCCCTCCCAGTGACTTCCTGTACTGAAGAAACTGGAAGGTTAAAGACTATCATTCCCAGACTCCCTTGCAGCTAGCAGCTCAGGTGGGTCTGGGTCTCTTGCTCTCAGATGTCTGTGAGAGGTCTGGAAGGTACAAGGGAGGAAAAGGCTCTTATTGTGGTCAGGGGCAGTGTGGAGGCACTCGAAGTAGGCCAGCTCCAGTTACTACTGACACCATGGGTTCTGAGACTTAGCATGGGGTCATCCGTTTATTTTATTTATTTATTTATTTTTTGGCGAGCACGGATCTAGCTGACAGAGTAGCTCTAGAGCCAGGGGTTGTAACGATACCTTCTCAACTCCCATGCTCCTGATTGTGGCCACTGTGGCACTGCCAAGATGGTCAGGAGCTACTGGAGGTCAACTCGACCTGCCTAGAGCTCATGGAGTAATTTTTGTAGCACCCTCTGGCTTATATCTCTATAGTTTCTGCTTAAGAGGATGGCTTATTTTCTTTCTTTAAAGAATTATTTATTCCTGGAGTGATTCCGTCCTGCGCGGCTGTTTCGGGAACTGTAGTCGTTTACCTCCGTCCGCCTTCTCGCCCACCCAAGTGCATGCCACCACCCCATGGAAGATTCGATGGACATGGACATGAGCCCCCTGAGGCGCCAGAACTATCTTTTCAGTTTTGAACTAAAGGCCGACAAAGATGACCACTTTAAAGTGGATAATGATGAATGAAAGTGAACACCAGCTATCTTTAAGAACGGTCAGTTTAGGGGCTGGTGCAAAGGACGAATTGCACATTGTCGAAGCAGAGGCAATGAATTATGAAGGCAGTCCAATGAAAGTAACACTGGCAACACTGAGAATGCCTGCACCGCCCGCGGTTTCCCTTTGGGGTGCTGAAATAACACCACCTGTGGTCTTAAGGTTGAAGTGTGCTTCAGGGCCTGTGCATATGAGTGGACAGCACTTAGTAGCTGTGGAGGAAGATGCAGTCAGAAGAAGAAGAGGAAGAGGACGTGAAACTCTTAAGTATATCTGGAAAGCGATCTGCCCCTGGAGGTGGAAGCAAGGTCCCACAGAAAGAAGTAAAACTTGCTGCTGATGAAGATGAAGATGATGACGATGAAGAAGAAGATGATGATGATGACTTTGAAGATGAGGAAACAGAAGAAAAATCTCCAGTGAAGAAATCTATACGAGATATTCTTCGCAAAAATGCTCAAAAATCAAACCAGAATGGAAAAGATTCAAAATCATCAACACCAAGATTAAACAATCAGGAATCATTCAAAAAACAGGAAAAAATTCCTAAAATACCAAAAGGACCTAGTTCTGTAGAAGACATTAAAGAAAAATGCAATAAAGTATAGAAAAAGGTGGTTCTTTTCTTAAGCCCAAAGATGGGGAGAGAGGAAAAGGAGGAAAATATAGTCCATACTGAGTATCATCCACAATCCAGACTGAAGTTTTCTATTTTAATCTCAATCCCCTTTCCTGATTTACTCCCCGCACCCCCTTCCAGGCTGGAAGCAATCTCTCTCCCAAAGCACGCATTGCTGACTGCTGTGATTCAGTGAACCTCACACTCTGCTTTCTATTACTTGTACATCTGCCTCACTTTTTGACCATGTTTTTTGGTTTTTTTTTTATTTTTTGGAGAGATTTTCACTATAGGGCGCGTGCGCTCGCCAGATAGACAGAGAGAGACATAGACAGAAAGCGAGAAATCACCCCCCAGGGGGGATGGTCACACCGCAATCCCTTCTCCTCCATTCTCCTCTCGGGATCTTGGGCACGCACGCACATGCGCCCGGCGTGAGTTTTAAGCCACCGAGTCCGGGACGCGAACTGCGGTCGACTACATGGGAGTCCAGTGACAAAGCCATTACGCCAACTGCTGGTTCCACTTTTTGACCATACTTTAATCACCTTTGTATTGCCATAGCTGCTCAATAAATATTTGAATGAATAAAAAAAAAAAGATTTATTTATTTAATTCCATTTGTTATTATTAGTTTTTTGTTTTTCAATTTGGCCAAAAAGTGAGAAAGGGAAAGCAAGAAAGGAAGCCACCTGGTCTGGACTTGAATGGCAGTCAGCCACGTGGGAATCCAGCCCCTTAACCACCACACACCTGCCAGCCCCGCGATGGTTCCTACCGTCTACAGCTGACACTCAACTGCAGGTGTTTTCACTTTCCAAGGAGGGAAGCAGCCGTGCCTCCCGTCATGGTTCCTAAGTGAGGAAAGAATGCTCCCCAAATATAGGAAGGGGTTCCGATGCTGGGTGATCAGAAAGAATAATGGGCTGGGTGGTGGCCCAGGGATAAAATATGATGCTCTGTGAGGCTCAGCCACATGGGACGGTTCCAGGTTTGCATCCAGAGACCCCCTGTACATGCCAGGCACATGCATGCCCATGATCCAGAGTTGACTGAAGCTGGAATGGATCAGAGTCAAGACCCTGTTGGGGGTGCTGCCTCCCTGTCTCTGTTTCTCTGGTTCATGAAAGAAATAGACAAACTCTTTGTAAAAACTGAGAGGGGGCAGCAGGTGGTGTGGTGATGGAAGCACTGGGCTCCTACATGGTCCCAGTCCTGCAGCTTGCTCTCACTCTGTCTCTCTCTCTCTGTCTCTGCCTGGGGAGTGCATGTGCTCGATAGCAAATTTAAAATAATAATGAATTAAAAATTAGATGAATAACTCTTTAAAAAAATAAGAGAACAGTCTCCAATAATTAACAAGAGCCAAGGGGTGATTTTTATCAGAGGGAGCTGCTCAAAATGATAAAAGTGGCAAAAGCTCCAGGTGCTCTGGGAAATGCACTGAGTTCCTCCAACTTCTGAGTCCCGCTGCCTCCTTCTCGCTCTTCTCAACTGAGACGCAGCAGTGGCTAGGACCCACGGTGCCCCGGCTAGAGCCTCTGGGACCTGCCCCAGGAAGCCAGAGGCCCATGTCTCGGCACTATCTCTGCAGGAAATGCAGGCCCACCTTCTTGCTGGGTACCAGGACGATGCGGGACATACTCTTCACCTCGCCTGTCTCCGGGGCCAGGCCCACCCGGTACTTCTGGATCAGCTGAGGCAAAGAGCACGGCTGGTTGGAGCCTGCAATCTCCATCCACTGCCCTCCCATGTACCTCCCTTCCTCTCCTCTCCAAGGTCGGCTTCACCCCTCCCTGGTCCATTTCCCCCTCCAACCTCTCCCTGCTCACCCTTGCCAGCATCAGCTGCATCTCCAGCTCTGCGATCCTGCGGCCCAGGCAGGCCCGCACCCCGTAGCCAAAGGGCACAGAGCCAAAAGGGTGTTGGACCCTGGGAGTATCAGTCTGGTTCTTCCGCAGCCAGCGCTGGGGCTGGAAGCTCTCAGGCTCAGGGAAGACGCTGGGATCCCGGGACACCACGTAGTGGCAGAACACAAACTGGGTCTGCAGGGGGACATGGCAGTGTCACTCCCTCAGCTTAGGGCTGCAGGGCACTCCCAGACATCCCGGTTCTCTAGTCCACTCACGTTCTTGGGGAAGAGGAAGCCATCAACTTCAATTTCTTTTCCCATGATGACCCGGGAGTTTGTGGGAACCACAGGGAAGAGGCTGCAAGGAAAAGAAAATCTAGGGTCTGTCTCTGGATCCAAGGAGACAAGCAGAGTACCCACACTTTGCCCCCTCCCTCTCCAGTCCCTCACCCCCGTGCCCATCTCATCCTTGTCCCTAGCCCCAGCCCACCAGACCCCTTCCCATTCCCATCTCTGATTTCCCAGACCCCGTGTTCCCGCCATCCTACCGTAGGGTCTCTTTAAGCACAGCTTTGAGCAAGGGCATGTGGGCAAAGTCCTTATACTTGGGCACCTGCCCGGCCGGCACCACACCCACCACCTCTTCATGCAAGGCCTCCTGGATCTCTGGGTTCTTTGAAATGTAGTACAGGGCCCATGTCAGTGTGTTGGATGTCTGGAGACAGAGTAGGAGATGAAATAAGGAGGGATTTCTAGGGAAAAATGATGTGATGGAGAGATTTTTGGTTTTGTTTTTGCTTTTTGTTTTGTTTTGCCACAAGGCATGTGCACTCCCCAGAGAGAGACACAGAGACCATGAAAGGGAAAGTGAGAAATCACCCCCTGGTGGGGGGACAGTCACACCACAATCCCTTCTTCTCCATTCTCCTCCTGGGGTTTTGGACACACGCGTGCATGTGACTCATGTGATTTTTCAAGCTGCCAGGTCCGGGACTCAAATCACAGTCGGTCATGTGGGAGTCCAGTGCCTTAACCACCATGCCACCTGCTGGCCCCTAGAGACTCATTCTTTAACAACAGGAGGAGGCCGGAATAGAGACACCCAGCGTGACCAAAGGGCTGTAAATAAGTCCAAGAGAGAAGGAAGGCACTTGTGGCCAAGCTTTGGACTTCCTACTTAAACTGCAGCAACAGAGATGGATTACATGTGAGATGAAACACACAGCTGAGAGCACAAGGAGGTTCTAAGTGGCGATGGGATCCCCTTTACAAGAGGACCGTCCCCTGCCTTCACTGGCCTGGTGCCCCTGTTTTTCCTGCTTGTGTTCCACACGTGTTACAGAAAGAGAAGCAGGTACTTGGGAACATGAAGGTCAGGTCAGGTGGGGGACAACGGGGAATTGGCTCAGCCCATGAGAGCTGCGAGCCTAGCCTCAAGGTCCCCCTCACGCACCGTGTCCACTCCAGCCAGGAGCAGCTCAGGCAGGCTGCCCATCACAAAAAAACAGGACTGAGCTGTCTGCTGGCCAGCAGGAAGTGCAGGTAGCCGGACACCTGGACCCCATCTGGCCCCGCTGCCTGCAGCTGGGTTTCTATCTCCTTGAGTTTCTGATCAACCAGCTTCTTCGCTGTGGGCAATGGACAATGGGAGGATGAGGTCAGAAGTCATGATCTTCAGGAACCAAGAGCCACTTGAGACACCAGCAGCTTGAAGGAAGAGGTCCTAGGACAGACCAGGTGCCACCACCAATTGTCTTCCCCAGTCCCAGTCTGGGAGTCCTCACCAAAGGAGAAGATGGCGTCCCAGCTATCCAGGTATCGCTTCCAGAAAGGCAGCAGAGAACGGGTCCACTTGGGGAGGAAGCTGAGGTACACGGAGCTCCGAAACATGAGCCCAACAGATCTGATGAAGGTCACAGTGTCCTCAGGGATGGATGGCTCCAAGCAGCCAATGCGCTTCTCGAACAAGATGTAGCTAATAGCTGGGGAGTGCACAGAGGCCCTCACAGGTGTGAAGTCTGGGCACCCAGAGTCCAGTGGGCCTGCTCCTGCCCTTCCCCACCCCAACCCTCTCCATCAAGGGTACCTTCCAAGGCAAAGGAGTAGAGGAGGTCAGCCACGTCAGCCACCTTGTCCCCGGAGGCACTTTCTGCCCGCATCCGGTCCAGGTGAACCACAAAGTCATCGATCACCTCATTGAGAGCATCGGTGTAGAGTGCGGCCTCAGCGGGCTTCAACATCCGCTGGTTCAGAGCCTGGCGCAGCCGGTACCATTGCTCTCCTTGCCTGCAGGGACACGGAAGAGCAGTGCACATGGAGCCAACATCAGGGTTCAATTCAGTGCCACCTTCCCCCCCTGCTCTCCCCGTGGAGTTGAGAGAAATCGCAGGCTCTGAGAATTTAAAATTATACAACCACCAAGCCCTTAACTGACAGAAGCTTAGGCTTCAGCATTGCAAGGCAGTGCAGTGGAGAAAGGTGGGCATCTAGAACCAGACAACCTAGGGGCAGCTCACAAATCTGGCTATTAGTTGGCTGAGTGACTGTAGGCAGGTGACGTCATTGCTCTGTGCCTTGGTCTCCTCACCTGTAAATGCTCTCTATAGCATTGTTTAGGTCGGCAAAGTGCTTAGACTAGTGCCTGGCACGTGGTGAATGTTTGGTGGGTATTGACAGTGATCATCTTAGAATAATACAAGTCTGGAATCTTCCATATGTAAAATAGGGGGAACTGCATGGTCCCAGTCCCTCTGTGTGGAGGCTGAGGAGTAAAGGACGGTTCCTAGAGTGCTGAGGTTCTGGCCTTCATGCTCTGCTTGACTCAGTGGGTCAAGGAGACAGAGAGGCCCACCAGCCGGATGCCCTAAGCCCTCCTGCCACAGCCGTGGAGTAGATAGTCAGGCCCCCATCAGGGTTAGGCAGGGATGCTCAGGTGGGTGGGAACATGCTTCCCATAGGAGGGTTTAAGGTTCAGGGGCTGCCTCACCACCCCCCCAACTGTCCTCCAAACCTATTTCCTTTCTTTTCTCTCTCTCTCTGTCTCTCTCTTTCTAATACAGGGTCTTGCTGGGTAGGAATCCTTCTGCCTCCCGAGTATCTGGGATTACAGGTGTATGTCACCTCACCAGCATTTAGGATGGCAGGAAATCAAACCTGGGTCTCCCATGTGACCTCAGCCTGCCCAGTAGCAATGTCAACCAACAAGCTATCACCACTGGGCCTGAGCCATGTATTCTTTCCCTCCCTTGAAAATGTGTCTATTTTTTGTAAGTTCTGAGAGAGAGGAAGAGAGAAAGACAAGCATCTGCAGTAGGGTTTCACTCCATGCTCCTACCCAGCCTTTCCCAGTCAGCCAGAACCAAGAACACAGGCACGTCCAGGCCAACCCCGGACCAAACCCTGATCATCCACTGGGCCCTCACAGTAGAGAGTGTCACGCTGAGACTGTGCACTGGGGCTGGGCCAGGCCCAAGTCACTTTCTTAAAAGCTATTTGCAGGGCCAGCAGGTGACGTGGTGGTTAAGGTGCTGGATCCTACATGGCTGACTCCGTGGTTCGAGTCCCAGACCAGCAAGCTTGAAGAACATGCCGGGCATGTGTGGATGCCCAAAATCCCAAGAGGAGAATGAAGGAAAAGGGACTGCAGCATGACCACCCCTCATGGGAGATGATTTCTCACTTTCCCTCTCTCTCTGTCACTCTATAGTGAGCTCATGCATTCTATAGCAAAAACCTAAAACATAAATAAACATTGTTAAAGCTAGCTGCAGAGCAATAATTACAATATGATCTAATTTTAGAAGAAGAGCCAGGCATGGCGTCATGAGACTGTGATCCAACAACCAGAAAGTGAAGTGGGAGACTCGCACACTCAAGGCTGGCCTGGGCAATGCTGCTAGACCCTGTCTACAAGAACCAACATGAGCTCCCAGGGTCCTGCGGAGTCGGGGAGCTGGGGCAGGGGGAGTTTCATGTGTGGCCCAACCTTGTCAAGAGTGCTTTCTCTCTCCCTCCCACCCTCTGTCTCTTCCTCTCTCACACGTGCACTCTATCATGAGAGGGAGGAGGAAAAATATAAAAATGAAGACGTGCCAGGTGTGGTGAGCTGTGCGTGTGGTCTCAGCTGGGTGGCTGAGGCAGAGGACTGCAATGTGGTTAGACTCCGTCTTTGAAAAAATTAAAAAAGCAAGGGGAGCTATCCTATATGTTCATGTGTGTGTGTATGTCTCTAGATAAAGAGGAAAGAATACACACAAACTGCTAGCACTGGTTACTTAGTAGGATGGAGTGGGAGTGCAGGGGAAGGGAGATGCTATTTATTATTATTATTATTGTTTTTAAGAGAGATCTTTGCTAGAGGATACATGTGCTCACCAGAGAGACAGAAAGTGAGAAATCACCCCCTGGGGAGATGGCCACACCGCAATCCCTTCTCCTCCATTCTCTTCTCAGGCCTCAAATCATGGTCAGCCATGTGGGAGTCCAGCGTCCTTAACCACCATGCCACCTGCCAGCCCCTAAAAATTTATTTTTATTTTAAAAATATATTTACTTAATGAACTTCAAGACTCCCAGGGGCTTCCCCCACCCCCATAAGGTTGAGAGGCAAATTGCAAAAAGATTAACTAAAAGTGTTGCTGAAAAAAAATGAAAACCAAAATACACCCACTTTGAAACTTCAGGTTGTAGATACTGCTCCAAAAGTAAAACTTTCAGTTGTAAGAATCAGATTTGCTAAGCTTAAATGAGAGTATTTCTCTGGTTGTTAAAATAGTTCTTGGCAAGGGCTGGCTCTGTAGCCTGGTGGTTAAAGGAAGCTGGAGCATATAGCAGACTGGTTTGAATCCCAGCCCTAGAAGCTTGAAAAATACATTGGGATGCATGTGTGCTGGCCGACGGGATGAAGAAAGGGAGAAGAGGGAACCAGCAGTTAGCGTAATGGCTATGTCGCTGGACTCCCACGTAGTCGACCGCAGTTCATGTCCCGGACCCGGTGGCTTAGAACTCACGCCGGGCGCGTGTGCGTGCGTGCCCAAGATCCCGAGAGGAGAATGGAGGAGAAGGGAATGCGGCGTGACCATCCCCCCGGGGGGTGATTTCTCGCTTTCTGTCTCTATGTCTCTCTCTGTCTGCCTGGCGAGCGCATGCGCCCTACAGTGAAGATCTCTCCAAAAAAAAAAAAAAAAAAGAAAGGGAGAAGACTCCTGTATGACCATGCCCCATCGGGGGATGCTTTTTCTCTCTCTCTCCCTCTCTCCCTCTCTTTCTCCCTCTCTCCCTCTCTCTCTGACAAGCACACATAGCCTGTGGCAATAAAAAGAGAGGACGAGAGAGAAAGAGAGACAGGCCAAACAAATTCTCTGACCAGCTCCTTTTCTTTCCAAAAGCACGAAGGCCCTCAGTTCTCGAGGTCTGAAATCAGAAAGGCCTGCCTGTTCCAGCACTTGCTAGTTCTAGCATCTTTGGCTAGTGGCGTAAAAACCTCAGTAGACCTCAGTTTCTTCATCTATAAAACGGGGATAATAGTATCCAATTTGCAGGTTTGTTGTGAAGGTAAAATGAAATAATGAAAGAGGCTCGTCTGATGCCTAGCATGTGATGAATACAGTCATTATCCTTGCTACTACAACCAATACCAGGATCAACTTTAACCCCTTAAGAAATGACTAAAACATTGGGACCAGTAGATGGAGTAACAGTTATGTCACTGGACTCCCACATAGCCAACCACGGTTCAAGTCCTGGACATGGCAGCTTAAAACACGCTGGGCACGTATGCATGTGTGCCCAAGATCTTGAGAGGAGAATGGAGGAGAAGGGATTGTGGTGTGGTCATCCCCCCTGGGAGGTGATTTCTCACTTTCTGTCTCTCTGGTGAGCACACACACCCTATAGCAAAAATCTCTCAAAAAAAGAAAGAAAGGGAGGAAGAAAAAGAAAGAGAAAGAAAGGGAAAAAAATAAAGGAAGAAAGAGCGAGAAGGAAAAAAGTGACTAAAACATGAATGTTAAGCAACTAGGCAGTGAAAGAAACTCATTTACTGTTTTTGGAGTTCAGTTCCCCCCATGGCAAATAGAAGCCTGTAAGATACCCAATTACAACCTGTGGCTTTGAGAATGATTGACTGCCAATGATTCCCAATGATCTACTCCATTTGGAACACGAATAAATAGTAACTCCGCCCATCCTTCAATCTGTTATTGCCAAAATAACCCGTGCTTCTCTAGGCAAAACTTTAAAGCTGAAACTTGCACGTATCTGTGTGTGTGGAGAACACCCAAGAAAGTTCTAACCAATATCAAGCATACGGTACAGAATTTCAGAATTTAAAAAAAATAGAGCCTGGGCCAGCAGGTGGTGTGGAAGTTAAGGCTGCTGGATCTCATGTGGCTGATTCTGTGATTTGAGTCCTGGACTGGGCAGCTTGAAAAGCACGCTGTGTGTGTGTGTGTGTGTGTGTGTGTGTGTGTGCATGTGTGTGCACGCCCATGCCTAAATCCTGAGAGGAGACTGGTGCAAAAGGGATTGCAGCATGGCCACCCCCCCCCCAAGTAGGAAAAAATTTCTCACTTTCCATCTCTCTCTCTGTGTCTGTCTCTGGAGAGCATGTGTACCTTGTAGCAAAATTTAAAGACTGTAAACAGATATGTCCAATTTTGATTTGAGTTGTAATAGTTTCAACCAGAACTCAGAAAAGGACCTTGGAGATACTCTATACCTCCTAAATTACATGCTAAGGAAAGGGGAATTACTCATTTGCCCAAAGTCACACCATGTATTAGTGGAAAAGCTGATGAACAGGCCTAGGCTTTCAGCCTATTCCAACGACGTCGTCCTAGACTGAGTATCAGGCTCAGAGACACCAGGAGAGCCCACTCTGTCCATCATCCAACTGGCTCCCCTGTGCCCACCGTCTTTTGACCTGGCCCTCTGGGGTCCTGTTCTAGTCCCTCCAGGCCCCAGCTCACATAGTGAAGGGCCCGTAGGTCAGGCCCCGCTGGATCCGGTGCTCCTTCCACAGCTCCATGTAGTCCCGTGTTGGGTACTTTTCCTCTTGCCGCATCACCTGCTCCAGGAGTGGGGCACTGGCCAGGTTCACGAGATTCTGAGGCCCTAGGCTGGTTAGCCACATTGGACCATACTTGGCCTTGTTCAGCACCTGTGGAGTTCAACCAAGACTGAATAACTGGGGCCAACCAGGCAGGCACTTCCAGGGAAGATAGGATGAGGGAGGGTCTGAGGGCTAAGCCAGAGCAAGGGGGCCAGGTTAGGAGGTATGGACTGAAAGAGTCAGTGGTTGCAGAGAGAGTGCTCTAAAAAAGGAGGTGCAGTGATGGAACTGGGGCGAGAGCAGTCCTTGGAGCGATGTGGGTTTGAGCGATGGGCTACATAGTGAGCTGGGGGGATAATGAGGTATAGATGTTTGGGGTCTGGCATTTTAAAGAAACTGAGCCCTTACGGGAGTGTGGGATAACCTCTGACTCCTTTTTGGAATTAAACCTACTGTAGCTTGCTGCTGATGAGAAGATATGCATTTTACATGAACAACAAGGACAAAAACATGATTAGAAATCCTAGGGGAAAAAAAGCTGGATAAAAGGTCACAGTCCATATATGAAGTAAACCACATGATAGTCTTTTTATTTATTAACTATTAGTTTGCTATAGGGTGTGTAAGTTTGCTGAAGAGACAGAAAAAAAGAGAAAAAGTGAGAAAACACTCCCTGGTGGGGGATGGCCACTCCACAATCCCTTCTCCTCCATTCTCCTCTCGGAATTTTGGGCACACCCACTGTGTTTTCTAAGTCGCTGGGTCTGGGGCTTGAACCATGAAGTTGGCCATGAGGAATCCAGCTGCCCGACCACCATGCTACAGACTGACCCAATATAGTTTCTTTTTTTCTTTTTATTTATTTATTTATTTTGAGAGGTTTTCGCTATAGGGCGCGTGCGCTCGCCAGACAGACAGAGAGAGACATAGAGACAGAAAGCGAGAAATCAACCCCCAGGGGGGATGGTCACGCCGCAATCCCTTCTCCTCCATTCTCCTCTCGGGATCTTGGGCACGCACGCACACGCGCCTGGCATGAGTTTTAAGCCACCGGGTCTGGGACCCGAACCGCGGTTGACTACATGGGAGTCCAGCAACATAGCCATTATGCTAACTGCTGGTTCCCTTTTTTATGTTTTAGAATAACAAAACGTAACATTTACAGATGTTTCCAGATAAACCATACGAAATGGCCACAAGCTCCTTTTGAGTGGAGAAATCTACACTCGACATCAACGTCACAATGAGGGCTCTCATATTTGTTGAATGTTTCTATTTTAGTTCAAAAAATCAAGCTTGTCCATCCACAGCATCTAAGTAAATTTTAACTTGGATAAAGAGCATATGCTAAAGAACTGGTTAGCAGCTTTTAAACAATGCAATTATATCACCATATAAAGGAGGGAAGGAGTTTATAAAACAAATAAAACTACCTCCCTGCCTCAAAAAAATAAAATAAAATAAACAGCACACCTGTGCAGCTAACCCTGGCAGCTACCTTCATTCATGGTGCTTTATACTTAAACCATGATGGGAGAAAGGAATAAAAGCAGAAAGGGGCCACTACTTTAAACGTTTATTAATAGCAACAATCCAGGCCAACAGATAGTGTAGGGTTATATCGCTGGACTCCCACATGGCTGATGGTAGTTCAAGTCCTGGACCTGCTGACTTAAAAATCACACCTGCCATATGTGCATGTGTGCTCAAGATCCCAGGAGGAGAATGGAGGAGAAGAGATTGCGGCATGGCCATCCCCCCCGGGGGGTGATTTTTCACTTTCCCTCTCTCTGTCTCTGTCTGGTGAGCATATGTGCCCTATGGCAAAAACCTAAATAATAATAATAATTTAAAAATCCAGGCATCTTCAGTCCTTTGGTGATTAAATCCACTTTATCAAATCTATGTCTTGTCCTGACTCACTGTTGGTAAAGCATAAGCAGGGGCTAGAAATAGCACCTGGAGTGTTGCTATTTTATTGGGTTTTTTTAGAGGTTCTTGCCATAGGATGCATGTGCTTGCTGGAGAGAGAGAGAGATAGAGACAGTGAGAGGGAATGGCCAGGGGGGATGACCATGCTGTAGGCCTTTCTCTTTTATTTGTCAATTCTTTCTCCTTCATTCTCCTCTTGGGATTTTTTTTTGGGGGGGGGAGTTTTTTTTTTTGTTTTTTTTTTTTTGTTTTCTATTGGTATTTGTGCTCACCAGAAAGACAGAGAGAGACAGAAAGCTAGAGACAGAGAAACAGAAAGTGAGAAATCACACCCCAGGGGGGATGGCCATGCCACAATCCCTTCTCCTCCATTCTCCTCTCGAGATCTTGGGCATGCACACACACGTGCCTGGCATGAGTTTAAGCCACTGGGTCAGGGACTTGAACAGCGGTCGAGTACATGGGAGTCCAATGACATAGCCATTACATCATCTGCTGGTCCCTCCTCTTGGGATTTTGAGCACACACACACACACACAGTGTGATTCTCAAGCCACCAGAACGCCAACCACAGTTAGCCATGTGGGAGTCCAGTGCCTCAACCTCCACACCAGCAGCTGGCCCCAATGTCTGTACCTTTATTCTGTAATGTTTCTAAGACTGTGTCCATTAAATGCAAGCAAAAAAGGAAGAAGTCTTGGCAGAACAAGAGAAGTGATGCACACTTGATGATAAGATCGATTTAAATACTCTTCATGGCGTATAGCCACATCCCTGGTCCAACTGTTTCTACGGCTCAGGCTTCATTGGTCTTCCACTGCTCCATTACCTCATTTGCTAATGGAGCATCTGGACTGGGAGAACTTAACAGCAGAATTGTGCAGGCCTGCAATGCTAGGAACCATTTCTCTTTCAAAATATCTAGACATATTCTCCCCAAGTAGTCTACATTAGGATGATACATTTTGGTCATGAAACATACTTTAGGGTGGCCAATGGGTATTCTTCTGAAAGGACTAGTTCAAGTTTAAAAGTCCTTTCCTTCAGTGGGAGATCCCTGGGGCCAGCAATGACCACATGAAAATAACAGGACTGCTCTCATCTGGTTCTGCTCTACTGCCAGGAACTGGTTGTCGGGAAACGCAGGGTTTCCTTGATGATCCTGCCGAGGCAGCCTGGCTATCTTGTCAGAGCCCAAGTCCAGCCTCTGGTCTTATCCCCTGATATGCTCTTTTTAAAAATAAAAATAAAATATTGATGGGTTGGCTCCAAAGCCTAGTAGTTAAGGGAGTGGATCCCACACAGCAGACCATGGTTCTAAGCCAGCACTGGGTACAATGTACGCATGCCTCCAAATCCCTATAGGATGGAAAAATGGAGAAGGGTTTGTGGTTGACCACAGCTCATTAGAGGGTGCCTCTCTCTCTCTTTCTCTCTCTCTCTCTTTCTCTGTCTTTGGTGAATGCACATGCTCTCTGGCAATTAAAAAATAAATATTGGCTATGTTAATGTAATTCTCAAATAGTCTTATCTTAAATTTATTTTTTTGTGGAACTAGCAGGTGTCATGGTGGTTAAGGTGCTGGACACGCCCACATGACTGACCACAGTTAAAGTCTGAACCTGGTGACTTGCTTTCTCAATTTCTCTGTCTCTCTCTCTCTGTGTTTCTCTCTGTGGTCAAATTAAGATAAATGAATGAATGAATAAATAATTGTTAAAAAAATTTTTGTTCTTTTAAAATTTTTAAAAATATATATACCATAGTTTATTTTATTTTATTTTTGGAGAAGTTTTTGCGATAGGGCACGTGCACTCTCCAGAAAGACAGAGACAGAGACAAAGATAGAAAGCAAGAAATCACCCCCCAGGGGGGATTGCCACACCACAATCCCTTCTCCTCCATTCCCCTCTCGGGATCTTGGGCACACATGCACACACACCCAGCATGAATTTAAGCCATCGGGTCCGGGACTCGAACCGTGGTTGGCTACATGAGAGTCCAGCGACATAGCTATGACGCCAACTGCTGGTCTCAGTTTAGTTTATTTTTAACACCCATAATGCTATGAATTCATAGGGTATAGGTTCCAGAAGCTCGGGCTCCTTTCCATTGATTCTCACAAAGTTTGCTTCTCTGGGTGCAGCAGGCTGGTGCTTCAGTTGAACCCAGGTACCTTTCTCTTTAGCTTCCTTCTTTTTCTGGTTATTTTCCTTCTCATATTTTAGGAAGCTATCTCTGCTCTTAGAATGCTTAATGTGCTCAATATACATATTACTTCTCTTGGCAAAAATTTTGCCCTTATCTTGTTTGTTTACAACAATGCCAACAGCATGCTGGGTAACGTTGTAGACTCTTTCAGTTTTGCTGTAGTAACATTTGTGGGGCATTCCTTTTTGAACAGTACCCATTCTCTTGATGTCTACAATATTACCTTTCTTGTAGATCTGCACGTATGTTACCAAAGGAACCACTCTGTTTTCTAAAAGGCCTAGAGAACATATATTGGATGCCTCTCCTCTTTCCCTTTGTGTTCGTCATTTTGGTTAATTACTGTTTGCATTAGTCATTTTGGCGAATTACTGGAAGATGGCCATTTTTTAAAATCTTAGAAATTCAAAAGCACTCGACAATTAAGATCAATAGCGTCTATTAAATTGACATTGCTATGATGTTTTCATAGTTGCTGTAAACAAGGGAAAGGGGGAGGGTAAAACTTAAAAGAGTCCACAATCCTAAATTTACTAGCTAAGCTATGCTACAAATTGAAAGAAAATTAAATACAGTGGTTTCCCAGTTACTATTAGAAGAATCAGAGTCTGCCCCAGTAGAGAAATTAGGCTATAGCTGTAAATGTGACATTAAAATTATAAATAAAAGGTCTAGCATTCAAGTTATAGAAGGGAAGCTCACCCAACTACAGTCCAGAATATTACCAAACTTACTGGGTCTTAATGTTGACATTGAAGAGTGAATTTTCCTAGGCCCATTGCAACATAATTGACCACAAAATATCACTCAGTTTCTTAGAATCCACTCAGAATTAGTGGCTGGCTTCTTCCAGTTTCTAGAAAAACAGTCCTGGCAAACCCCAAAAAGTCATTTAGGCTTCCTTCCCACTTCTATCTTCCAGCAATGGCTAACTTTGTAGTATGATTTTGAATATGATCTATTAG